GGACGAACGTCTTTACGATATATCCCTAGAATAAATATGGTGAGCAGAAGTTCATAAAAATTTAAACCATCAATCTAGGGAAAGCAAATTGGTCCGGAAAGTGTAGCAATGGTAGTAGATGCCAAGACTAGAATGAACCTCAAAAACGAGTCTACCCAGCCCTCTAGGGCGAGAGGTGGGTGGAGAACAACGTGAAGAAAAAATAAAAACGAGCCTCAGAACTGTGCACATCCAGTACGGATTGAAAGCTGTTTGTTGCCTTTTATACTAAGAGCACATCGAAGGGGGAAGTGATTTGGGCTGCATAGTGCATATATTATTTGGGGTATCTAGACGAGCACCTTTTCCATCTATATTATCTAAATGATCGCTTTCTCTGTATATACTGCTGAATGCTTTCATTAGACAGCTATGAAGGCGAATGCGAAAAACGGTCCAGCTGTTAATCTATACAATCTGTAAAATAACGTACATTTACGGGTGATACGCAAACAACGCCAATAACAGTTGATAAAGACGCTTGAATCACCGGCCAACCAGTGGTACTCAGCGTATTCCCTGAAAACACTTGCACCTTAAATTTTCCTTAACAGTGCGATACGTTTATTCATCAAACAAGACATAGTGTATAATTATGTCATGCGTTTTGTACACAGTGTAAGATTAATGAACTAATTTACAATAATTCTGACAGAAAGGCCACAGCATAGTACCACTGCGCGGGAGGTAATTAATGCACCTATTTACTATGCCTTGTAATCTAATTGTGACGCCTTGTGGTCAAATTTTAAAAGTCATAAATTAGATCACATTTAAATTAGAAGCTAATTGTTAAACTAGAACATATTTGTGATCTTGAAAATTGGTTTCAAGCCGTTTTTCTGTCTAGATTCTTCCAAAACATAAGTATAATAAGAACACCTAGCGTCTAGATTTTCCATAAAGTTGCTACGTCCTTTCTTAGTGCAGCAACTGAATCTGGTCAGCAAATCGAATAAATTGTTGCTTGCATAGGAATAATAAATATTTTATACACGTTTTCAATGCATCAGAAATTCAAAACTGTGTCTTTTTTAAGAAATTTTCATTATTTTAGAAAATGAGTTTACCAAGTGGATCTTTTGAAACTCTCTTGAAATGCTGGAAGTGGGCCAGTATATGTGAGGAGAAATCAACGGAATAGCCGATGCTGAGGAAAATGACAATGGTGGAGACGATATCCAGGCGAGTACCACAGAGCACCAGCAATGCGACCACGCCGCAGTTAATGCTAAACGTGGCCCAGAGCATCAGGAAACAGTTCTGAATCGACGGGATAAGTAGCAGAGTGGCGCCAGTTGATGCGAATCCTGCAAGATCATTGCTTTTGCTAAGAATCCAAATAATCCGCCAAGGCCAGAAGATGCTGCTTTTTCTCATTTTTGAACGAGAAATGAGGAAGGAGGTAAAACTCAAAACGTAGTAATGCGACAAATTCAAAAACAATTTGTCCTCACTGCATTTTTAAGCTGTATACTCAAAAAAAGCAGCAAAATTTGGAAAAAGCGAGAGAGTAAAGTGTTTTATAAACTACAAACAACATATTTGCATAAATTCTAGTAAGTAATTTTAGTTAGAATTGTGGACCAGCAAGAACAGCATTGAAAACGGTGACACGTGGAACCAGGTCATCCTGCTCGGCCAGGTCGAATGATACGTGATAGATGAGCATTTGGATCGAGTAGCGCTTCTCCGCGGTGCTCACTTGGGATCTCAAGAAGTGCATCGCTTTACTCCTGGAATTACAGAAACAGGAAAAATTCACACTATCAACTTATTTGTAAGTAACCGTCGAACAAGGAAACCATAAGCAGCCTATCAGCAGGTGGTTAATACTGACATTTGCTACCGTTCAGGCTACTTCCCGACTGCTTTGCTTTCAGTAGAAAGTGAATATGAAAGGGTTTCGATTTCTGAGAAAACACTTTGGGGTAGAACCAGAAAAATCAGCCATGCTACGCTTTGTTCATTCGTTGCAACAAAAAGCCGGCACTGACCGGATATTATGGCCATCAGCTTGCTTGTAAGCATCCATTCGAAGAAAGAACCGTCGAAAACGAGTGAGTGCTGAACAACGAGAGAAATGTACGAAGACCAGCGAAACAGTCTAATAATTAAAACAAGAACCTATTATAACGTGTAATGTTGCGAAGTGGAATGTGCAGACGACTAGATTTGATCATTAGACCATCGTCTACGCTCTCAATAACTAAATCCTTCGAAAAGTACCTGTAACAAAGCGATTTTTAGATAAATAATAATAAACTGATGTCAAAAAAAAAAAAAAAAAAACAAATTTGCCCGGGTATCAGTTTGAATATCCCACACTAATGATGTTACTAGGATGCTCATATACGATCCTTTGATCCTGGGTTGCATACTTCAAGTTAGTACCACCGATGATTATTCGATGTATGTGCGCCGCTTCTTCGGGAACTACCGGAGTAGCTGTTTCATTTCGGACACCATACCAGTCATTAATGCGTTACGTCCACGGGTTGTTAGCAAGGCGAACAACATTCCATGCCTATAGAATTTCACTTTCATGCGTGAACGCTCGTCTAAGGAAGAGTCTGGTTGTTTATGTAGTTGCAGATGATGTTTTTCGGAAACAAATTTTCTTGTGAATTTTACTGCTCGCATCTGCACTAACCTGTACCCGGGATGTCGCAAGAAGCGCGCCAGCTTCTTCATAACCGTACCTGAATTTGCAGCAGACAATTCCTTATTCGTCTGATGCCTGAAAATCTCAGAATCATACTCCTTAATTTTTGAGAAATGAATTTTTATGGTAGTTGATGAAAAGGCTCGACTCATCGGGTTTTGCCAGAAAATCCATAATTCGGTTGGCATCTACGGGGTCGTCAATGTATATTCATGTCCTAAACTTTCATCGCCTTAAATGCTTAATTATAAAATATGAAATCTGTTTGCAGTAACGATGCATGATTAAGTTAAGCCGTATGAGTCAACGAAAAGTTACCGCACAAAATCCAAGAAAGCAGGTAGCCAAAAAGATGCTTTCAGTGTATAGCTCGTGTCTTCAAGAAGTGCAGCAGCCCGCATGATACGAAGCTGGAAGTGACGATCGAAGTAGTCCAGTTCTCCCACCAGAACAACCTCCAATGGCGAACTGTACTCCGAAAAATACTCCTCATACATTTTCAAATATTTGAATGTGCTGAAATAACAATTCCATTCTTAATTTTGTCACACCTATACCAATGAGTTAATGACACTTTTATGCTGTGATTCTTGCGGACAGGCCATTTTGCAAACAGGTATAGACCCGAGACAGAACTGAACCATATCTCTTCACATCCGGATGCAACTTGCTAAGCCACTGGCCCTTATGCTCCATCTGGCTTGCTCGCTCAGTATCTTTGAATGTATACAAGAACTGGCTTACCTCGTGTCGTCCGGTACAAGTGATGAAAGTTGCAGACCAGTGTCGATCTTCCGTATCAGTATGATGACTGAGCCGAACACGTAAATCACGTAACTTCCGCAAATTAGACTGATAAACCACTTGTTGGTAAAAATTGTTGCATAAACAAAGGACAGTGATTGCGCTGAGGAATTTTCCGATCCCACTAAAAAGTACCGTTCCAATTAAGAATGATTGTTTGAGTACGTGCGTAGCGCGTGTTGCTCATGTGTCTGTGCGTAAGTGCATGTTAGTCCAAATGTATATATGAATATGTGCGCGTATGTGTGCATGTGTGTGCAGCGTGCTTACGTTACCTTATTTTGCGCACGTATCTGTGCATATGCTTGTGTATGCATGCGGTCGCGTGTATGTTTGTGCGTTTGCAGAGGGAGTGTTTGTCACACCGGCGGAGTCGAAACTTCGGCATTAGACTTCCTTCCACTTCGCCATGCCTATCGGCAAGTATAAACTTTCCACTTTTTTATGCGTTTTTTGCAGCAATGCAGTGCGAAAAACGCATATTGACGAGAGGTTGCCTGTGTG